ACACCATCCCATTGTGAGATGCTCCACCCAGAGGGGGAAGCCAAGCACTCTTTTATGGTATAAAGTGGTACCTTTTGGGAGACAGAGCAGCTTGCTCTTTGCGGGATTCAGAGACGTGGCCCCTTCGCTGGATTCCCAGATGAAGACCGGCCCCACTGCCACCAGATCTTCAGAGAAAACTATACCCTTCTAAAGATCACCACTGCAGCCGCAATTCATCAGCCACTGCAAGAGGAGCAGCTGTCGTTTCAACCGGACTGCTACCAACACCCCGAATCCTCAGGTTGTGGACTTTATCACTTGTTCTGTTTGTACCAATTGCATTTGCCTTTTTAAATTGTTATCTAGTTTTCTCCTAGTAAAGAATTGTTACTCCCATTCCCATATCTTTGCCTGAGAGCCTTTTAATTTAAAAATCCTGGTAATTCGGAGGGAGGGGGTTTACCTTCTCCATTGCACAGGAGGCTTCTGCCCTCCTTCACAGATTCCTGTCTTGTCAAATCAAGACAGTTACATTGATTAGTAGTGCTGTATTAGCATTTTAATGGTAGGGTAAATGTAGATTTGTTGTTAAAACGGAGCTTTTGTGGTTAAAACAGAAACTCTGTGTGTGGGAAGAAAGGAATGCGGTACTTGCACCAGGATGGCAGTCGCAGGACACCAAAATCTTCCAGAGAAAAAGAATTTACAGCTTATTGTAAATGCAGGCGAGCCGGGGGGAAGAAATGACGATGCCTGACTCCAGCTCAGAAGGATGAATGGTTTCTTTATTAGAACTATACTAATATACATTAATATACTGTTTAAAGGAGACACTAAAACTACAAACCTGGTTTTTCTATTAATATTCTATTTAAAGGAGATACTAAAACTACAAACTGCTTTTTCTAACTCCCAAATCTAACTCCTCACAACTCGTGACCCTCTCTGAGATTCCAGCCCTAGGTGGGTTGGATTGGCCCCAGGCTCAAACGATCCTCACCAGAACCCAACCCAGCAACCACCCCACAACAATTTGGGTAACAAATGGTTAAACAATTCTCCAAACACGTTCCACATACTAAAACAAGCAGCAGAAACAGAAATTGTTTTCTCTTTCGTTTCCCTCTGTGTTCCTCTGTGAAAAATGCTGGGAGGCAGAGCAATGTGCTGCCACAAGGGCTCCCTGATTAAAGGAAATTCACTCTCCGTGCCCCGCTCAGCCCTGCGGGCGCCGCGGGATTGAGCAGAGGCTGCCACTGCTCCGGGTTCTGTGACTGGACAGGATTGATGCATCATGCATGAGATCGATGAATATGCAACAGGCTGCTGCTTTTAGGTTATTCCTTGTTCAAGGCGTGG